ATTAGCTGTATAATTGGCTGAATTTTATTTCCTATATTTAGTTTTTAATATTAATAGCAGTTATAAAGATCAAAGAAGTATTGATGATCAATCACGGAATAATCGTTGATGAATCGGAACCTCCACAGATATCATTTATAGATGAAAATAATTGCTAATTAAGACATCACCAATTTGTGCCTATTTCGTCACTGCTTTATAAAAACGTAGGGAAAATATGCATTGAAACGCTTAGGACCGTATTAGCCTCAATTTAGTGATGCATGTTACTTCATTAAGATAATAGAACAAACAAGGTTAAAGCTTCAATTGCGATCGAAAACATTCATCATCATCAATAAACATCACGGCATGCGTGCTACAGATATTCGGCAGTGATAATAACTTCTGTGTCAGTTGAAATATGAACAGTTCATGGTCGTAGGTCGGTATATTATAGTGATGATTACAATATTTGTTATCAGTTTAATTAATCACTGTTGATAAGGTTTTTATTGACACTCTTAAATTGAATAAACGAAAATCATGTTTACTGGGAGCGTCTGGTAGAGCTGGAATGGCTGGAATAACCCTCAGCACGAAAAATATGAACAATTTATGACGTCGACATGCGGAGACACCCGTAGAAAGAAGAATAAGAAGAAACGATCTCATCCTTTGTTTAAAAATTCAGTCTTTAATGTTAAGAAGATATGCCTAGACATCTTTATTTAGGAGAGGCGATATAGTATTATAATATTCCAATTGCGCTAGTACTTACGCATCAAGATTACTTCTTGCATACAAATCGAATAGTCCAAGGCGATGAAAGTGAAATCGATTTGACGGCTTATTAGATTATAGGGCAATCCGCGTCTACATGCGAAATACGGAAATTATCTTGCGATATATTAACAAATAGACTCATCCCACTCAGTAACAGGTGCTAATATGTATTCAAATATTTTACTTTTTTGGAAAAGTATTATTTCAGTAAAAGCTTTAAAACAACTTCTAATCGACAACGAAAGGTTGTTCTACTATTTTTTTTTGTGTGTATTTGTACACGACAGCTCAAACAAGGAGTGTATTTTGTTTAAGAAATTGTATTCTTAATAAATAATAATACTATTAATAAATTAATTATACATTATTGTTTAAAAAAATATCTTTTGTATTATATGACGCAATATCTATATATTATAAGGTTATGATTAAAAACTTAGACTCACAGGGAGTTTAAGTTAAAAATTAAATAAAGTATCATAAATACTTAAAGGTAGAAGTATTATGTATAAGTTCTGGCTGGCACCTCAATTACCGTATTGGATTGAAAACGCCGACATTTTACATGTAATATCAGTACATAAACTTATATGGTCATATTAAGGTCATAAATAGCAAGCACAGTCGGATCATATTGTGAGCAATTTCAAAACGCGTTTGGACAAATTTTATTTTTCTTTTATCCACTCAAATTTTTGTGAATATTTAATATCTCCATATGGGAATTGTGGGGTTTTGTTCGTTATTATTTTAACATCCAAAAGCTTTTTAACCTCACAAGAAGTTGGCGTTATATCTGAAAAAGTGATACTAAAAGCTTTATTTGCGTGTAATAATGTCTCCTTGAGGTATTTATCACATAATACTTACATTTGTAATATTGTGAAGGAGTTACATTTCGCTGCTTTCAAAATGCATGAATTACTTAAAATGACAATGTATGAAATCGTATTTAAAAAATTAATTTAATATAATAAACAACATCGCACACATTGCTCGGATTCCAAGATTCTGAGACAATGAAGGTACTACAACACCCAGACCAGAACAATATAAATAGGTTTATTTTTTTATAACGACCCAAGCTGGAATTGAAGCACCAGCTCTGAGGCCCCAGAGATGGCGACACCTTGTAAACTGGCGTGCGAACCACTCGTTATTCGAATCTTTGTTTATGTATCTCCAAATCAATACATTTTAAATAAGCTTCGAAATAAATAATTATCAATCAAAATAAAAAAAAAGCATTGAAGCTTAAGGATAATATTTATTTAGGCAATTTATAATAAAAAATCTTAAAGTAGATCAGGAATATGAATGTTGAAATTACTCGACCGTGACAAGTTGTTTAATGAAAGAAAACGCAATCTAATGGTAAAACGTTGTAATGAAGTTTGTTTTAACCAAGGCGTTTGAGTATGTTTGATATCCAATTAGTATCTCGTGTAGACATGACATCGATATTGCATTGATTTTCGGTGAAGGGAGTTGTCCTGTCGGTAATATGTTAGTTTTACGAGTACACGCTCTTTCTTTTATGTTTTATATTTAATTCATGCCTACATGAATTGTCCCATTTGAATGTGACGTAATATGCTTGGTTTAGTGTATGACAATGATTCAGTTACCTATCAGATATTGAAATTATCTTTTTCTATAACTAGTAATAAAACAAAATTATGTCTGAGAGTAATCGCAGATTTCAGTTATCCAGGATTTATTAACATACTACCGATTTAAACAAACTGTTTTGAATTAAAAACCTTTTTAATCATAAAGTGGCTGGGTAATTGTTGTGTTTATTTTTTCCCAACTGCAAAGAAACGGTTACATTTTTCGCGCATATTTTTGTAGGTATGTATGTGTGTATATATGTTTGTAGGTATGTCTTTATTACTCTATATCTTCAGAACCGCTGAACGGATTTAGATAATTGAGGTATCGTAAGACTTGTCTTAGTATCCCAAGTGTTGTTAGATAGGTAACGTTAAAATAATCAAATATGGCGGTTATGAAATTGAACAATCATTCTGTCTTTGTACATGCCTTTGACAGCATGTTATGTATGATGTTACATTAATTTTTTATCTTGTTCCAGCCTTTTCAGTTAGTTGTTTTTCATGCAGGCGGGTTTTTTACTTTAATTATATTACACATTTTCATGATCTACACGTATTAGTCTTTTTGTGTTCTGTGACACTAACATTATGAAGGGGAAATATTTAATTGTTTGTTAGTTATGCCACTAGCATTGCAAGAATTCGAAACTACTAGACTAATTTTAAAAATTCTCTAACCTAAGGAAAGAAAAAGGAAAGCTACATATACTTTTTTATGGGAATTATGCGACCAAGTAGCAGAAAAACAGCTGGTTTATAGTCCGTGTTAATCAAAATAAAGCGGTTTATACCTACCACATAGGCTTATGGCTATCACTGGACAAATCCGTCTCTAGCTAGATGACGTTAAGTATTTTTAATACGATACTATAAAAAGGAACTTCGCTATGAGCGGCAAGAGCTTTCGTAGTCGAGCGGTCCGCTATCTTCTCTAGCACAGCATGGAACGTAAGTTGCAAACTTGTGAGAACCTAAATATAATGAAATATCGTATATTTCAATGCTATAATATTAATAAAAAATAATTCTCAATGTATTAGGAAGTTATTCTGGGAAAGAAAAATGTGAGAATTTGGCCGGAAAAAGTGGAAAATTTGGGAAAACGAATTGCTTTTTCCGTAATGGTTTAGGTATGTATGTTAGGAGCTCCCATAAAATGGTCTAGTTTGGTTTTGTACAATATGTTTAGGTGTATTTCGTAGAGCAAGGAAAAAAATTACATTACTCTGATAGCTAATGACACTTGTGTTTAGGTATTGTCAAGAATTGTAATCCCGATTAACATTTACATTTAATTATTTTTTTCAAGATTCAATGGATGTAAAAAATCAATATTAAGTTTAGAATTCTTCAAAGTGCTTACGGTGTGAATTATAGTATGCTGCTTTTTAATAAAATATAGCCTTCTTACTGATGATGTAGCTTAATTATCGCGAAAGAATTTTTCTTGCTTATTAATAGTTTATTAAAAGTATCTATAGAAGGTCAACCATATTTAATTATGTTAACTAAAACTCAGCACAAACCTTATAGACAGAAGCGCGATTATAATGTACCTATGAAAATATTCATAATATTTTAATTTAGAACTTACCATTATTATGAAGGCGTGAACAAACCCTAAATAAAAGATCTCGAAATAATGCAATGCTATTTTAGCATTCGTACACTACACAGATTCTCAATTATTCTGTCGGTAATGAATTCAAACTGAGTCGATGGCACCATGCGTAGTTTTTCCCGCTAAAATCGCGAACTGTCAAAACGCATGCGTAGCGGCGGCGCGCGGTACGTAGTCTGCCGGCGGCGTTTGTACATGCGGCTGCCCGCTCACTATCCAGAATGTTTCTCCCGCAACTTGAAAAGCACGTGATGCGCCTTATGAAAGCATTCGCCGTGGAATCACTTGGCTTTTGCCTCTTTCGTGTGATAGTTAAAGTCCAATTATATCTCTTTATTCCGTAACCAACAAAAGTCCTCTAGAAAAGATATACTTAGAGCATCTTTATTGCATAGATTGTGTGGTGACAATTCTTTGTACTGATTATTTTGATTACCAAATAAGTGGGTTTTAAATTAGCTCACAATTCTAATTTTTGAGGTTTACGAACAAACGCAGTGAAGGTATATGTTTTAAGTACGAAATAAATAAGTACGAATACCAAAAAGCACATATGGATTAATCGCTGCCAGGATTGGATCCATATATTTATTATACGAATCATTTGATAGACAAATTTTGAGAAAGAAGATGGTGATTTACAAAAATGATTGCTCTTAGGTTAATCTAAATATTACTTATTAAAAGTGTTTTACTTAAAATGAATTTTCTTACAGGTTTTTCATATTTAGTTATTACAAAGCTCTATAGATTGCTCTACCTATCTAAGCTTCAGGAATATGTCACAAAAACCAGCTCAACATAATAATGTCATTCATGATGGAGGTACCATCCAATTATATTGATAGTATAAGGTTTATTGATACATTTTATAATCGGTCAGTAGTTTCTAACACTTACCTATACCGATGGGTGTAACGTAGGTAGTTACTAATGAAACCTGTAAATTAACGATTTGGCTGTAAAATGTAACACAAGATTATTTTTTTAAATAGTAAACTTCATGAAATAATACCCATCTTAAAAGGAACTTAAGAGAGGTATTATTTCTTAAACCTATTGAAGTTGGACGAATGGGGCGAAGGTTTCTGTAGGTTATTAATTAAATGATATTCATTCAAGTATTATTTCTCACTTTATTAAAATTTGAAGTCGGTTTTAGTGATTTTTTTTATGTACTTACTATATAAGGTAACACTAAAAATATTAAATATAGGTATTTATAGAAAAAATATGTCATAATAGTGAAAGTCTTATGAAAGCAGATTTTGTTTGCTTACTTGAGATTTTTTTTCCAAGACATTAATAAAATAATAAAATACGAAACGGGTATTAACGCGATAGACTGATAGTTAGGTGACCCGGTCGAAACGTCGGGAAATATAGGTAGGTGAATAATCTAACTATTAATCTATCGCGTTAATACCCGTTTTAAACAATCTTATATAATGCAACGCAAAAGATTAAAAGTTTAAATAAAATACTAAGATTATAAAGAGGAAGACTTTGATTGCTTGTTTGTTTGCATTGGATAGGCTTCGAAACAATAAGACCGACTTTAAAAAAAAACTTTTATTTACTGGAAGCTACTGACGCCGCTGGGGCTATAAATTACTTAATTTGATAGAAATTAGTTCATAATTAATGCAAGAAAATATACGTTTCCGTTGAACCTCCTTTCCAAATTTGAATGAACGCAAAATATGCTTTCTTTGTTTTTTCGCTGATATAAACATGTTTCCCTGTAAACTTGGTGATATTTGATAAATAGCATACCTATTTTTCTTTGATAAAAAATTTAATTTTCGATTTTGAAGTCGGTTAAAAAATCAAATAATAATTACGAAACTTATTTGGCATTACAGACTGCATGATCCATTAGCCCAATTTTTGTATATTTCTGAATTGTAGATGTACATGTAGGTATGCTATTGTAATTTCAAACATACAAAAATTAAGTTGGTAGAATTTATTTTGGAACAATAGGGATGATGACTGTTTTTAGTCCGTCAGTCCGATAGTAAAAAAAAATTAAATACTAGCTCTTTTTCCGTGACATTGCACGAGTAAATTATAGCCTACTATCTTTTCACCAGCGGCTTCGTCCGCGTGATTCCTAGGGAACTGTTTATTTGGATATCGATTCATTATCATGACACGGATATAATCATAATGACAAATTGAATAGTAAACAATGCTAATGTTTTATTTTTCTGTAAAAACTTCCAGTTAAATTTTCATTCCTTTATTGTTATTTTTCGGGATAAAATATGTCACCGCATATGATGTAGCTTCCCGTAGGTGAAAGGATTTTTAAAATAGGTCCAGTAGTTTTGGAGCCTATTCGATGCAAATAAACAATCATACACACAATTAAATCTTTCCTCTTTATACTCTTTATAATTAGTATAGATCAAGAAGTTTTTAATAGAAGATTTTTTTTAGTATGGGAAATAGTCCAAAATGACCAAAGTAAATAAATTTTGAACGTAATTCCATAGAGAAAATTGTTTATATCTATTAATAACTTTACTCTTTGGAAAGAGAGTATTGCTCAACTTTACTCTTCGGTTTTACTATTTTGAAATTTGGTAATGTGGGGCGGTGAACATTTTTTTTATTTATTTTACACATGTTTACTTTTATAGATAATGTTCGTGAAGAGTTATTGAATGAGTTTATTGATATTTTAGATTTAATATCACTCGAAAGTCTTAGTCTCTATGATAGGATAACTGAAAATTTAATCATAGTTCTACGATCGCGTTTTAAGAAACCTAGATGTGGTGACAATAATCTCGTATAGCCTTTAGTAATTAAGTCTTACAAAATTAACAAAATTCTGGTAAGAACAGATCTGTAAAAAATGGAGGAAGAAACTATCGAAGAGTCTACGGAAAATAAGGAGACAATTGAAGGTCAAGAAAAAACAGACGAAAATAATGTGAATAAAGAGGAAAGTGAAAATGCAGAAACAAAACATGTTGAAGGAGAGCACGTAGAAGGTGAACAATTAGAAGGAGAAGGTATTGCAGATGAACATGTAGAGGGAGAGGGTACTGAAGCTGAAGAAAATGAAGAAAAAGAACATGTAGTAGGTGAGGGTGAAGAATTGATGGGTGAAGAGTTGGAAGGTGAACACGTTGAAGGGGAAGAAACAGAAGAGAAAAAAGAAGAAGCACAACCTGCTGAAGAAGTCGTCGAAGAAGAAGAAGGTTATGTCGAGGAACCTCCCCCAGATCCAACGGCTCCTTATAATTTATCTGATTCGAAAGAAGCTCTTAAAGAACCTTTCGAGTTGAGACCCGATCAAATTGCAGAAGTAGAGCAACTCTGGGAATTATATCAGAATTACACTCCAGTTTACACAGATATAGATGGGTATATAACTGAAAAAGAATTGGTGTATATGTTAAAAGCCCTGCTTCTTATGACATACACTCCGGAACAACTACAAGAACTGATAGAATATTGCGTTAGACCACCACATCCACAAGGACATATCACTTACGAACAATTTTTAAAAATGGTAACTTTACGTCAAAGAGATTTTCCTGTGGAAGATGAGTTGCGTTCTGCTCTTCAGGTTCTTGATCCTGATAGGACTGGTAGTATGGATAGGGAACAATTGAAAGAACTTCTTGCAACTAAGGGTCACAAAATGATTGAGAAACAATTAAATAACTTAATGAAGGAAGTAGACATTAGTAATGACGGTACTATTGGTGTTGAGGACGTTGTTGGCACTATGTGCATTGATTTGAACAAAGAAGATATACAAATGCTCTTGGCTTCACTCAATCCTAATCCGCCAGAAGAAACTCAAGAAGAACAATTTTGATCTTGTAGATAAATTTTGGAAAATTATAATCAGAGATATGCCTCGCTGTTTAATATATTTCTACTAACTTCAAAGGAACAATAAGTGTTAAATTCGTCTATCTTCGTCTATAAGCAGGATTATGTGTAAAACATCAGCAACTTCCCAGCGATGATGTATTAAAAAATTTAGATGGGTTATCTGCGCACAATATTGACAATAAAAAAGCAAGGCAGTTGCCTGAGTTTCACTTTAGTTACGATTTAGCAAGCATTGTGGCAAATTTTATTTTTACTCGTAATTTTCTGTGAAAAGTTGTAGAGCAAATTACTTCCTGCGTAATTAAATAATGCACAAATTACACATTGACAATGGGAAAAGCAAAAACGATTTCATTTTATGCGTAAGTCAGTACTAACTTATAGGATAAATAAAGTACTTACTCTTTTTTATTTGAATAAAAATAATAAAACGTCATTGAACGCGGCAATTTCTTCGTGTATCGTGATGTATCGTGAATGAGGATGCAGATTCATTTCATTGACAGTTTTTACACATATAAATTATTTTAATTTAATTACTTGGCATTGGCAGAATTGTGCGAAACGCGCAGATAAGTCACTAATAATAAAAGAGGAAGAAGCGGTTGACACGTAAAACTATGCAAATATGTTTATTTCATTGTAACAAAATGCTGTAGATTCTGATAGGGTGATAAATATTTTGATTTCTCTGCGACCTTTGTGGTTGTATCTGGGGGCAAGGAAGTGCTTCCGCATAGTCGATAAAAAAGGAAAAAGGGCACGGCCGTACCGTCCTTGTCTTAAAGCCATTCAGGCCATTTTTGACTCCCTGTCATTTCGTTGTGAAGTAAACTAGAAGCCTAAATTTTCAGTGACCAAGAGGGCATCACATAATGAGGCACATTTCCAATTCCTATTAGATTTGAACGAGTACTTCAAGAATTAGTGCAATTGTTAGAGCCTAGGAATAACAGAGGTTTTTATACCTAGTTCCATAAATAATTTCGACACTGTCATTTAGCCATAATAATCTTTTCTTTTGTTCTGTTTATTCTGACGCTGTGTAAACTCTGCTAATAAACCACATCAGGGTTATGGGCGTAAAAATCCACCACGCTGAAGAATGTCTAGAGAGAATAGCGATAGTATGAGTACAGTCGCTGATAGAGGTGATTCGAGTTATAAGAGTGATTCGTATTTTGGAACTATGAGTAGTACACCCGTTATAGAGAAGCTTGACGGTAATTCAAACTATTCTACGTGGAAGTTCCAAATGGAAATGTACCTAATCGATGCAGACTTATGGGAGTATACGAGAGAGACTCCAGCCGTAAGTGACGTACAAGGTACAAAGAGAGATCAGCAGACTAGGGCCAAGATTTGCTTGATGATAAAGCCTCATTGTTTAATTCATGTCAAAAAGGCCTCGACAGCTAAACAAACATGGGAATCATTAAGAGATGCTTTTGAGGATAAGGGCCTAAATAATCGCTGCAGGCTGCTATCAAGACTAGTAGGTTACAAACTAGAGCGTTTTTCAACTGTTCGAGAATATGTCACTGCAGTAATGACAACGTCTCAGGAGCTGTCAGATCTTGGAAAAGAGATCGATGATGAGCTATTAGCTGCTTTGATTCTTCAAGGTCTTACCCAAGAATTTCAACCAATGAGATTAGCTATAGAGAACAGTAACATTCAGCTTACTACCGACTATGTGAAGACCAAACTTTTTCAAATGGAAGATACGTTTGCCGCTTCTACTTCCAAAGAACGAGACATGAATATTTCTGTGACTTCTGCACTTTTATCAAAACAAAAAGGCAAGAAGAAGCCAAAAGCTAAGAAGCTTCAATGTTTTATTTGTGGTGCTGCACATAAAGCGATCGAATGTCCTAACAATCCAAAGAAGCAAAAGGAAGCGTTACACACTTTTGCACTAACTACAGCTGGAGATTCCGGAAACGAGGATTGGGTTCTCGATTCAGGAGCGTCGTCACATATGACTAACAAGAGAGAGTGGTATAAGGACTATAAGAGTATAGACCCTATAACAGTGACTTGTGCTAACAATACAAAAGTGTATGGAGAAGGAGAAGGTACGGTAGTATGCAATTCATTAGGAGGAATGTCAGTTACTAATGCCTATGTATGTTCCTAAGTTATCAACTAACTTATTAAGCGTAAGTACTATTGCGAAAAAAGGTTACATAGCAGTATTTGGAAACGAAAGGTGTGAGATTTTTAAGAGTAATGAATGTGTGATTTCAGGTCGAGTATTTCTGAAAGGTGTAGTAGAAAGAGGCGTATATAAATTAAAACAGTGCTGTTTACAGGGATCAGCTCTTGCATCAGCGACTGAAAAGGATTCACTGATAGACCTGTGGCATCGGAGAATGGGTCATCTTGGTAAACGTAATCTACTACTACTTAGAAATAAATTAGCAACAGGGGTAAGTTTTCCTAACACAAATTCTAAACTCGAATGTGTATCTTGCTTGAAGGGAAAACAAACAAAACAACCATTTCCGAAAAAGAGTACACGTGGTATGAGAGCTACGGAGGTACTTGGTCTCATACACTCGGATGTGTGTGGTCCCATTAATGCTCCTTCTTTTGGTAAATGCCGTTACTTTCTTACCTTTATCGACGATTTTACTCGAAAAACTTTTGTCTACTTTTTGAAACATAAAGATGAGGTGTTTGAAAAATTTCAAGAGTTTAAGGCACTAGCTGAAACGCAAACTAATAAGAAGATAAAGGCACTAAGAACGGATAATGGCACAGAATTTGTTAATAGAAGGATGGATGAATTTTTGAAGAGAAATGGAATTCAACACCAACTCACGGTTGAGTATACCCCAGAACAAAATGGTGTTGCTGAACGAGCAAACCGCACAATATGTGAGAAAAGTAGAGCGATGATTCAAGGTCTACCTAAATCATTTTGGGCGGAAGCTGTACATCATGCAGTGTACTTGAAAAATAGGTCACCGACTATTGCTCTTAAAAATAAAACGCCAGAGGAAGCCTGGGCAGGGAGAAAGAGTAACCTTGAAAATATAAAAGTTTTTGGATGCAAAGCTTTTATGCACATTCCTGACCAGAAACGAACGAAGTTTGATGCCAAGAGCAGGGAATTAGTCTATGTTGGATTTTGGGATAATGCCAAAGCATATAGATTGATAGATCCTAAGTCTGGTGTAGTGTTTAAAGCGAGAGATGTTGTATTTTTTGAAAACCAAATGTATCAACAAGAAGATCCTTCTACGACGAATGCACATTCAGATTTTTTAGAGGAACATCAAATAATTGAGGAAGTTCGTACTACTGGGAGTAATGTAGAGCAAATTGGAGCCTCAGCTAATGAAGCACCTGTTGAATTTAATCAGGAGGAGCAAGAGGATATGCCTGGAGAAGATTTTGGTCAACAACTGACTGAATCGAATGTTGAAAATGGAGAAAATTTTAATAGAGCACCTGTCGAAATTCGACAACAGAACGAATTAGATGGCGAATGTCGCGATGAGGACAATTATTTTTCAGCTGATGAAGACGAAATAGAAGCGTCTACGGCTGAAAGGAGATATCCATTAAGGGAAAGGAGAGCCAGAGAGTTTCCCGACTACATCCTTTATCATACAACCGGGACTGAATCGGATCCAACATCGGTTCAGGAAGCTTTGTCTCGGAGAGATGGGGATAAATGGAAAAAGGCAATTCAAGAAGAATTGCATGCATTAAAGAAAAATAATACATGGACCTTAGTGAAACCACCGGCAAAGTGCAACATAGTTGATTCTAAATGGTTATTTAGAATCAAAGAAGAGGGAGGAAATAATGTGAGATATAAAGCTCGACTAGTTGCACGTGGCTTCAGTCAAAGAAGAGGTTTTGACTATGAGGATACGTTTGCACCGGTGGTCAGGCACAGCTCGTTGAGGACTTTGCTAGCTTTAGCCAGTGAGATGAATTTACAGGTTGACCAAATGGACGTCAAGACCGCTTTCTTGAATGGAGATTTAAGAGAAACGGTCTACATGAAACAACCTGAGGGCTTTGAAGTTAAAGACAAAGCTGGATATGTATGTAAATTAAATCGGTCATTGTATGGACTTAAGCAAGCTCCTCGTGCATGGAATAAGAAACTAGATAGTGAATTGAACCAACTTCAATTTATACAGTCTAAAAATGAACCTTGCGTTTATTCATTGAGAATAGAATCATAATATTAGCTGTTTACGTAGATGACATGCTGATGTTTTGGAATAACAAGGAGGAGCTTCAAAAGGTAAAACGGGAGCTTACCTCGAAATTCGAAATGAAAGATCTTGGACCAGCACATATTGTTTTGGGAATGAGAATTACCAATAATAAGGATCATATTAAAATTGATCAAGAAAAATATATAGAGAAGCTCCTCAAGACGTTTGGTATGGAAGATTGCAAAGTGGCTGCAACACCTGCAGTACCTGGAACTCATTTAAGGAAGTCGGAGGACAAGCCAGATGAGAGAATTCCTTATCAGAATCTTATTGGGTCATTGATGTACCTGGCGGTTTGTACCAGACCAGATATTACAAATGTAGTTAGTTAGCTGAGTCAGTTTAACACCTGCTACGCCGAGGAACATTGGTCAGCTGCTAAAAGGGTGTTGAGGTACTTGAAGGGCACAAAGAATTTCGGAATTCACTACACAAGGAATCGTGATGTGACTAATAGTCTTCAAGGCTATGCTGATGCAAGTCATGGTGGCGATTTAGACAGGAAATCTTGGACGGGTTTTGTTTTTACATCTCAAGGAGGAGCTATTTGCTGGCAGAGTGTCAAACAACGCACCATAGCTTTGTCGACTGCAGAAGCAGAATATGTTGCCTTATCAGAGTCTGCAAGAGAGGCAATATTCTTAAAGAGATTTATAGCTGAGATTATGTGCAAAGAGGAAAAGTGTATCACAATATTTAGTGATAGCCAATCTGCTATAGCAATTGCACAAAACCCAGTGCATCATCAGCGAACGAAACATATCGATATTCGCTGCCACTATATTAGAGAAGCTGTTGAGAATAACCAAATAGTGGTTAAATATGTTGAAACCAATCGGATGGTTGCTGATGCATTGACCAAACCCCTAGCAAAAGGAAAGTTTGACTGGTGTGCAAGTCAAATGGGTTTAAGAGTGTGATTGAATGACAGTGAGTATGCATGGTATATGCTGAATCAAAATTAAGGAGGAGTGTTAGAGCCTACTAATAACAGAGGTTTTTATACCTAGTTCCATAAATAATTTCGACACTGTCATTTAGCCATAATAATCTTTTCATTTGTTCTGTTTATTCTGACGCTGTGTAAACTCTGCTAATAAACCACATCAGCAATTCAAAATTCCTAAATTTTGTTACTGACACAAGGTTGGATAGCTGTTCTTACAGAAAGATAAGTACTGAATGAATCGACTTGTTGACTTCATAACTATTTACGGCAGAAGAATTGCGTTGTGAAACTTGTGCATTTGTATACCTATGTAATGTTTTTGATGGGATTATAATATTACGGTACCACAATAAAGTGTACGATGTCTTAAAACCCAAAAAAGTACGGTAAAAGTACGGGTAAAGACGTGTCTAATATAATAATAAATCATTAACGTCATTGCCTCGCCGGCCTAGATAATAATAAACAAAACTACACTCGCTTACTATGATTTGGCATTATTACTTTCATTAAAAAAAATCATAAAATCTTATCAACGTTGTTTCATCACTGCTCTTATCAAGTAGTCGGGGGCGTTGAATGAAAGATTCATTCTTTTTAGACTGTTTATTATGATTGAGTATCCATTGATAGACTAATTTATGGTCTACTGACCTAAAAGACACAAGACACAAAAGACCTAAAAGACAAGAAAAGATATGAACGAGAATTTAATATATATTACAATATTCTTAGATATGAATTAAACATAGACAATTTATAATAGTTAATCTATGGTTATAGACATTATATAAAGTTTAAGGGTATGGTAAAATCTATGGGTATTGGCCATTGACCTAAAAGTTTAGTAGTTGATTTATGTTGACAATCTGAATGGGCAACCATAGTGCGAATGATAAGATGATTTGCAAAGCAAGATGTGTATCACGAATGAAGACACAGGCGCTCGTAACTCAATTTTTAACTCGTCTAGCTAGTTTTTGTTTTTATTATAGATCTTAAGGTGACATCGAAGCAACAAGGGAGTGTTTAAAAAAAATAGTTCCCGAAATCAAACTAGATGTTGCTACGGTAAGTTTTTGATTTCTCAATGACAACTCCTCCGGTTTTCTTTTCTTTTTTCATGTATAAAAGTAAATTAATTTTCAAAACTCAATAAACAACTCATTTTCTATTTGTACATTTTCGTATTTGTATTGATATCTAAGTTTCGAACTTTGCGAATTTCATTTTTTTAATATGTTATTTAAAAGGAACGGAAATGACTATCTTTGGTCCATTCGTTTCCTGCAAAAATCAACTTTTGCTGGAGTCGCCTTCTAGTGAGGTGCTGTTTTAGTTACCTTTCTCTATGACATTGACATTTATTTGTCAAAGTATCTCCTTACTTACTAGTCTGTGTTTGTCAGTGTCAGCCATACTGTCGGTCGTTCGTGTTTGAAACAGTAAACATACTCCACGCTTCCAAATAAACTAGTATAAGTACCAAATTACTCTATAAGTAAAAGTAATATAAGGTGAACATGAGGCTTAAACTACTGATAATATTTCTGATATCAGTCATACGAGAGAGTAAGTAAAATTTCTTTTGTGTGTATCTATTCAAAACGGGTGTGGTCACAATTTTTTTGTATTGCACTATAATGCTAAATTACTCATTGTAGATCGTTGCACTAGCATTAAATTACAGGTATCATTATCCTAATTTAATAGCATTTTAAATTATAGACTGTATAATACACAAGAAAGATAAGTAATTGATAACTAGCTGCTGTATCAAAATATCATATTTCAAACAAAATCAAAGTGAAATTCAAACTGTAGGCTACACTACACTTTCTTCGGTAATTCGATTAAGTTTTAGTATCTGAACACCTAAACCTAAATGATCACAAATTTCCAAGAGTACATAAAAGTAAGATTTTGCTGTCGCTTACTTAGATTATTGTTTTTGTTATTAAATATAATCATGTAGTACTGATTTAATATCTTTTTAAATATATTGATGTAAATATACAGCAGGGTGTAAAATATGTTGCTAGAAGTTATTTGTTCTTATTGATGGCCTTAGAGAGGTTTCTTAAATGATACAGAGAATAGCTATTATAATGATACAACAAATATAACTTTATTAAAAATCAATATAAATATCAAATTTACAATGTGACAAATTGTATTTAATCAATTTACTAATATAATAAGTATATCTATACATTGTTCAATTTCAGATTCAACAGAAAGATCCTATAAGGGTTCCATTATGGCTTTTGAGAATCATTGGGTTGTCTGTCTGTCAATCTTTTCAAAACTATTGGGCTGATTGAATTGAAATGTAAATGTAAAGATTTAAGAGTTAAAATTTGAGTAAAATTTTTGGCAACTATAAAATAAAAATAAATAAATATTAAATAAACATCACATACATTGCTCATTTTCCAAGATGTGTAGCTAAAGCTCTGTATTATGGAGTATTTGAGACAACAAAGGTACCAAACACCCAACCCCAAAACAATATAGAAAAGTTCATTTTCTACATTGACCTGACCAGTAATCGAACCTGGGACTTCAGAACTGGCAACATATTGAACCGTGTGATTCACCAGTGTGAAATTGCATGACATATCAAATAATCAAAAATGATCTTTTTTTATTTGATAGTAAAAGAAAATAGGTCAAAATTAGCTGTTCTATTTATTTCATGTTCAGTTGTTGAATAGATCATTCTTAACTAATTCTTATTTTTTGCATCATTAATATTTATCCAACATTTCAGATTTAGCAATATGGTGTTATCAGTGCACAGCAGCTACACCTGGATGCACTGAACCATTCAATTGGCGTGGTGTTGGCTACCTTGGTAATCCTTGCCCTGACCGAGATGATGTTTGTATTAAACTTATTGAAGTAAAAGGAGGTTAGTTGATTTTTTGTGCAAACAAGTGTAAAAATGTAAATGGTTTCTAGTTGATTACAACTTTTTAATACTTTCTGATTTCTGGAAATAAAAATATTCATAATGATATAATAATGGTGACTTGATAAAATGGATAATATAATATTGTTGTGTTTTGTTTTAGGTATTTTCTAGTAAATTTCATCTATATCTAGTGCTTTTAAAGTGATTTGAATCTGTGACCTTTTTAAAACCAAACTACCTGCCTGGTGACTGAACTACCGGCCTTATTGAGGTCTTTGGTAGAACAGTTGCCTGATTCGTTTTATTTAACCAACCTCTTTATATTAATGTAATGTGAATAATAAAAATGTATAATTTAATTCAATTTTCAGCACAACGAGTAATTACAAGAGACTGCTTGAGTAATTTTAAAGCATTCCGAACTGATATTCCTGCAGACACATATGAAGGTTGCAGGCCTGCTGCTAAAGATGTAAATCTTGCTAACTATGTTAATAACACTATCAAAGAGTTGGACATTAAAAGGTATACTATAAAAAGTACAACTTTGGTTAAACAGTGAATGTTTTTATATCTGTTTTTTATTGATTTATTCTATTAAATCTGAGTTTGTTTACATATATTTTAGTAATAATAATTTTAATATAGTGTAAATATTAGTAATATGTGATTTTTTTTTTACAGGGATTGGTATGATGAAACAATTTGGTGTTTTTGTTTTCTGGACCACAGATGTAACAGTGCCTCCGCATCGCGTACATCAATGGCGTTACTAATCTGTATGACCTTGGTTTTATTCACAAAATCACTATTGTTCTGACAAATGTTAGTGCAAATTTTATCATGAGTATATTTAGTGCTGATCAATAGTCCTAACGTTAGCATAACAGATCACATAGTTCACACATTCATATAACACAGTATATATTAAATCAAGTATAACAATTTAAAAATGGACTTTGTTAAATTGAGTCATAATATTATTTTATTAAATAAGTCATAATATTATTTTATTAAATAAGTATAAGTATATATATATCTATAAGTAAATGGTTGTAAAAATGTAAGGTCCTTGTGCATGTTGCATATATTCTTAATATGAAGTGGAAATTTGTAATATATATATAGGAACTAAAAGACAGACTAAAAAGCATTGTTTAAAGAGTACCTAACTTATTTATTATATTGATCAATTGTGCATTTACAATGCTATACTGGTATATTTGATGAAAAATGCTTAAAAAATCCACCAGTCAATGGTAATTCGAGATACCCGACCAGTAAAAACATTAATTGTAATTCTATTGATATAGTTTTTTTTAAGTGTATTAGTATAAGTGTAAACTCAATTCCAATAATGTTGTTGAGGTGGTCCATCACGTTTAAGTGGACACCAAAAGATGGCGCTTGTGAACTATTTGGTGTTGTAACCAGCAGAGGGACCACCTAACTTTCTAGCCATAGGATACGATATGTTAGTGATGTTATGGCCATGGCCATATTTCATGAAAACAAGTGATTAAAAATTATGGATATGGATTTGTCAGCGATGTTTTCAGCTTAGTCATTTATCTCAGATTTATCCACCGAAAGGTGTCAAAGTGGTAAAAGTAAATGAAATTCTCTATTATGTCGTATCCTATGGCTAAAGAGTAAGGTGGACGCACCACTTATTAGTTAGAATAACGCCGCATTAATTATTAGTAAATACAATTCCGTCCATTATGAAATGTGATAGCTTTATATACCTACTTGAAATTGTTATTCAATTGTTTATTTCTATTGAGAAACGAAGAATGGATTGTCGTTTTGATTTTCTATACAATGTTAAGATTAAAATAATTGAGGTGTATTATTTGATATAGTATTTTACTTAAAATAATATTGAATGTGCGCATCACAATACAGCAATGACAATATAAATAAACGTGTATTTTATTTCAAACATTTATTAAAAGTATCTATTTGGTATTTAGAACTTTTACCTAAATAGTAGGACGAATAATGCCACGACTCGGTTTCAAAACTATAGCATTTTTTTCAGTTAGTTAATGCACAATATAGGTACATTACCAAGTACGTGCCAAGTTCAAATTAATTATATTTTTAGTATGATTTTTTCACATTATCTAGAACGCGTTATGATTTTAAAGACAAGCACGCAGTGCCTCTAGCGGTAACTAGGTATAAAGAATAGCAAATTTCCATACTAAAATATATTCTTTAGGTGAATTGCCTGAACATTGATGTAAATATTCTGATTAGTAGCGAAGGCAACGACTGTTTGAGAAATTCATAAGTTCTGCTAGATGCAAAGAAACAAATCTTTCTTCTTTATAATACTCAGGTATACATAGAGTGACATATCATAAATATATCGACGCTGCAAAAGCAAACACGTAGTAACCCGCTAAACCAAAATTGTTCTTTAGAGCAGAAAGACTTTTATTTTTTCGATAAATAATTTCTATAAACATCTATGGTAACGAATAAGGTGTTCCTTAGTTAATTTATTCGGAAACAAGATATTTTTTTTTTGGAAAATCTGGTTACTACCTTTCTACGTGTTTGTTTTCCAGCGTCGATATAAAGTTTTACTTCTGCGTCTGTTTTAGACTGATGAATAGATTTTTTTAGGATAATTGTTATAAATCTCTATTTTATTTTACTCCTCATACATAAGTATACAAAGGGGAACTTAATGATTGAGGCATTTCTACTAGTCGACCCATTTCTTTGTATTATGAGACTTGAAAAATAACTAAAGGTCTTAACTTAAAAGTTTAAGTTTACGATTCGTTCTAGATAGAGTTACTTTTATAAATGGCTACCTATGTAAAGGTTAATTGAAACAATAAAACAAGAAAATTAGTAGCAATATTAAACAAAACGAGGATCACTCTTGCCTCCATGTCCCACATATCATATATTGAATATCGTGGAGGTGTTGCATCAATTAACTTGTACATCCTTTTTGCCTTTTCTCTCAATGGACCTAGAAACAAAATAAAGGTTAGGTACCTATTTTGAAACAAAATGTGTAAAGAGCTGAAAACTCTTCAAGGTAGGTGTAACACCTATGATGTAGGTAATCGATCGTACCTGTTTTGCTTTTTAGGTTCAAGTAAAGTTGGCATTTTGCCGTAATTATTCCAGGGGTGTGAAATACGCCCTCTGTTGGAGTAATAGGACAAAAACTTTGACAGCCGGTAGCCTGCGCTGTTTCAAGGAGTGCCAAAATCATCATTTACGCTATATTTATAAAATATGTCCCTATGAACGTCCCCGCTGTTGGGGTAGACTCCTTCCCAGTGAATGGAATCGAAAAGGGAGAAAGGGCCATCCCACCCACCAGGTGGTGAATTGGTGGGTGTTGAAAGTAGAGCCAGGATGAAGAACAACAGAAACTTGAAATAGTAAAATTTTGCTCACCCATTCTATGACCGGCTCTTACGAAAGTAGCTTAGTTTCTTTATTGCAGACCGAACCCCCATAACGACTATTTTTTTTTTCAATTTTTTTAAAGAGTTTCTCATTGAGCTGATCACAAGAATTTTATTCCATTCATGTGTCTGAGTTTGTGTAACAATTTTTTGGAGGAGGTGCCACTCTTGTTCGTCCTCCTTATCAGAGCGCTTAGTGTAAGTTATTTTGATGTTTAAATTCATCGACGATTGCGAGCGCATTAACATTTTAGTATGGAATACGGTACAGCGCCCCTAGCGGTAACTGTCAAGAGTTACAAATCTTCACACAAATTCTTAACGGGCTCACTTGTGAACACGTTAACGTAAAATATGCATTTACCACTCATCAAAAAGATGTTCGGAATAAGTAGTAGGTAAGAAAGTGTTGGACAATTAAAAACTAGGTACCGACTTTAAATAAGTTTATTTGTATAAAGATATTTTCATTGTGGGTGCTGAACCGATCTTGTGCCTTATTTTTTGTGCCCCACAAAATAATAACACTTACCTTGCAAATGTATTGACATGATAGTTATAGTTAGCAGCTTGGTCTCTTTAATTGCTCTGAAAAAGTTTTCACTTCGCAGGCATAAAAATAAAACGCCGAAAAAGTCAATAACGACGGCGGTTGTTGGGACAAGAATAATCGCAAGTTGTAATATCTGGAAATAAAATTTCGTAACATCAAATTTTACAACCTCCGTAGCAAAGTGGCTCATACACCGGTTTAGAGGTTCTGAGTTCGATTCCCGGGCGTGATTTTTTCTGTTGTGTTTGAACTGGATTTTAAATATATAGCATTAAGGTTTACAATCAAGTGAAGAAATTTGATAGATTTTTATATTATAGGAAGTCAGGTTATGACATAAAGTTTAGATGAACATCTTGTCAATTAAATATACCTACAGGGGATTTTTAGTTAGTATTATATATTTTATCTTAAATAAAATCAGGCAAGTGGCAAAACTTAACTTCTAAGTCATCATCAGCCCTTTTACGTTCCCAGTGTAAGGGCTCAGGCCTTCCTATGAATGGTTAAGGAGGATGGGGACATAACCCTCCACGCTGGCTCAATGCGGATTGGAGAGTATTAACGACTGTAAATGCAGTTGGGACCAACGACTTAAGGTGCCTTCTGAAACACGGAGTAGCTCGATATAATAATTTTTTGGTTTTCCCGTGACGTAACCTTGCAAAAGTTGCTTAACAATAACGACCGCGGGCCGCAGCGCTCATCCACTACGCTACCGACCTATTCTAATTTCTAAGTATTTAAACTTAATAGGGTTGATCCTGGATAAAAAAAAGAAATTCTATTTAGTCAGATAATAGAAAAATGTTTTCTAGATACGTATTTTTTTTACTCCAATTTAACAGGATATAGCTTAGATAACAGACATTAATTGAGAAGTGGGGGCTAACTACGTCACAGTTTTGTTACAAAAGTGTGACGTCATGTGACATTTGAACTCAATGTATCGTCGCAATAAAATACGTGTTTAATATTTTTCATCAATCTACCTGACGGACAAACAAAAAAAAATGTAGTCATTATCCCTATTGTTTTATATAAAAGTAGGTATCATCTTGTTATAGGTTTCCAAAGAATTTGTTAGCACCCGATGTATTGCACATTACATTAGCTTTTCGTCTGCCTGGAATATTTTCCGTGATAAAAACTATCCTGTCGTTTCTCAAGGCCCAGGTCCAAGATGTACCAAGTTTTATTAAAATTGGTTCAATAAGATGATATGAAAACGTAACAGACACACACTTATTTGCATTTATAATATTAGTATGGTTTGTTTGTTACGGATGCCAAACAAAGTAGGAATGTTATGGTTTAGATTTTTTTAATTAATCGGAGTCTTAACTCACATTGTACTGTATTGACAACAGAGTGAATTCAAAGCTTGCTAATGTATAGATAAATAGCTTGTTACATAGTAAAAGAATCTGAAATCAAATAACAATATATTAATCAGAATATCAGTAAAAAATATGTAATAAGTAGTCCAGTAAAAATTCGTTTTTAATAATATTTTTACCTGATATCTATAAAGGTTTTGATATATTTTAAAACACCTAAATATTTCTTTTAAATAGTTATCGGTGTCGCTCGATTCAAAAGTATGTTGACGAGCCGCTATATTTCTTAGAGATGCTTTAGAATTAATAAATATTTTACTTAGGCTTTTGTTAGTGTTTCCATTTAAATAATTCCATAAAATTCCATTAACAACACCAATACGCGTTGCGAAATGTAACATAATATAACTGCAGTGGGTTAAATCAAATATGAATGTAGATTCACAATAAATTAGGGTTATGTTAGAAAATGTGTCCGCCGTGCCCCCAGGCACACTCAAGGCTAAAAGAAATATTGGCGGCATGATAATAAGTATCATAGTGACTAAATTAATTTTGTATTGATACTCATTAATCTCTAAATCTTTGTTAAGCTTCAGAGAACGGTCTATACGTTGCAGCTTAAGATACAAATCAATATTTTCTGATGCATTCAGGAACCGTACATGTATTATGTTGCTTACATATGTGTAGATATGCACCGTCAACATTATAAGAGACACGTAATAAAGATATGGATGTCTGTCGGAATGTTTTTCACTTATTATATTAAATACTCTATATTCAGATATGAGAATGAGCACTGTTGTTATTATCGTGTATATTTTTTGTAAGATAGTTGGCGAACTTATAAATTGATTCCTGGCGTCTACACGACATGAGCCAATTAATTTTTGCCACAAAAATAGAGGTCTAAATATCTTCACAAAACTTTCGTCCAATATATCTTCAGAAAGATACTCAACTTTCATGATTCTGTTCTCAATGTCGACGTTCATATCATGAATTCTTGACACCATAATATATTTAATGGTGATCGTATTTCGTTGTAGTTTAAGGTCCTACAGCTTATGAAACAAAGTAATAATATTTTAATATAGGGACTTACATCAATTAAATGGTCGTTAAGGTTTCAACGTAGGTACCTAATTTAGAAAAGTGTTTCGTGATTAAAGCTGGTCGATTAAATGAAAATGAAACAATGTTAAAAGAGTATAGGATAGCATAACATATTGTCATTGAATAATAATAAAATTACAAAACTATCTCCATCTATGTATTATATTAGATTAATATTGCTTTCAAAATGATACACTGAAAAATATTCTCGATGGAAAATGTAAAAAAAAATCTACTCTGAGATGGGACTCGAATCCATGACCCTTCGCAATCCAGAGTGCTAGGGAAAAAGTGTTTTTAAGCATTCGTCTCCATCTCCTAACAAAACTTTATAAACTCGAGATATTTTAATAGCTATGCTGTTGATTTTCGAATCCAAGGAGTCAGCCAAACCTTGAAATTATGCTGCGATGTTTTGTTGGAGTATATTGTTATATTTGTTTGTTAACAAAACGTCGACGTTGATACAGAAAATTTCTGTTTTTTTTCCTTTTGGTTTTTATGATTGGTTAGGTTTGAACTGAAGTCATTTATGTCTTGTTGTCTACGTACACTTCAACTCGATGTATAAAATTTTTAATATTAAAAATAACAAATTTAAATTTTTCTTGATGTTTTTCTCTTCCTAATTAATTAGAACTACATTAGCTCTAAGTTTTTCTGAGTTTAAAACAGCTCAAACAAGCAAAATTTGTTAATCATTTTGGAAAATAAGTTTAATGTTAAGAATTTAGGTCCGCTTAAGTGTTGT